AAAGAGAAAACGATTTCATCGGAGAGTTTTATAGGTGAGTATGATTGCATGAAGCAATTAAATTTGATGCTTTATAGCTACAGCTGATGACGGAAACTGAGTCCTTAAGCTGGAGAATAGGTATCATCGATCGCCTGCGAAAAGGAATATCCAAAACAAGAACCGGTTAATACGGTTAATAATCCCAGGAACCAAGAAGACTTTCCAAACTTATGAAAAGTTCTCATTCGCTTACAGAGTGTTCAATGTTTATTTAATTCTGACTCTGGAGAGTTTTACAGAATAAAAAATCTCTGAAAGCTTTCACTTCTCACGATTTTCTTTCACGCATCGTCGGTGGCGTTTTCTCGTAACTTTTAGCACCACTGGGAGATTTTCTACCTGAAACCGTGAATAAAGGAATATCGCTCATATTATCATAGCTTCATCGTGCTACGGATTTAAATTTTCCTTTGTACATAACTGAGCCCTGAACCGTATCATGATAGCAAATGCGAAAATGCAGGGAGCTAACGGTGAAGCTTTATAAACGTCCATAAATGTCATAGAGTAACAATATTTACTCATAATTTAACATAATTACTCTTGTCTCATTTTGTTGTTTTTCTAGTTTGCTTATCTGTTTGCTTCTATAACTTACAGGCATCAAGATTTACACAATCGCGCGTTTTCCATGGTGGTAGCCAGTAATCGGTGGCTTGGTTTCCGTGCTGACGTACTTTGTGCAGTATTAACAACTGCAGTGGCTTTTGCTTCTGTTTTAGCTTCTCAAAACCCAGGTATCAATCACGAAAATTCTACAGAACTGATAATACTGACAAAGTTTTTCTATTAATTTAGCTATCTATAAACATGATCATTATTATTATTATTGTTTTGATCCATTAATCTTTCTATTTATCTCAGCTTTGGCTGGTCTGGCGCTTGCTTATGTTATTAACACGGCAAAAATCTCCCAAATGGCTGTTAGACAATATGCTGATGCTGAGAACCTTATGACGTCTGTGGAGCGAGTC